TACACGGAGAAACCCTGTTTCAAGATAGATAGATAGATAGATAGATAGATAGATAGATAGATAGATAAAATACACTGCAGAGACAAGGTAATAAAGGGAAGAGAAGTTGATCAAGCAAGTATATCCCAAATTCTTTAAGACTATGAAGGAGTAGACATGGTACATGACCCCAGCATCATATGACCAGTGGGCGGGATAATGAGATTGTCACTTAGGACCCACCCTGAACCAGCCAGGCCACCTTGAACAAGTAAGTCCTTTGGCCACTGTGAACTTCAGCTTTGCTATCTGCGAGTTAACTCTGTCCTCTGGTCTTGCACAATCTGACTCTGTTCTCATGCATGGATGCGCACTTGCTCTACGAATGACGGGACCTCAAACCTTTTCTTCTCTGACGGAAATGAAATGCCTGCTGGAGCCACGTCAGTGCCTACATGTGGCTGGGGCTGACTTTAAAGCCCATCCACGCATGTTTTCCTTCTTATTCCACATGTTAGCCCGGGTTTCTTTGTTCTGGCCTTGTTTCTGCTCTTTCCCTTACCTTTTGCAAGAGAAGACTGTACTGATTACATTTCCCAGGTCACCCCGTTATGTTGCCGTTAGTCTCATCTAAGCCCCCTCTGTTTTATGCAATCCTTTGTTATCATCTAATTTTACCTCCCACTCCTGTTCCCTCCCCACAAGAGGATCCGTCCAACCGGCTGAACACACATCACTTGGGTTGAATGTGCTTTTGTAAAATGTGCCTTTTTGCTTTGTGTGTACCTGTTTTTAAGTCTCTGCCGTAGGTCTCTGGTTGTATATGTTTACTTTCCTGGGGAAGCTGGCAGGGATGCCCCACCATCACATCCTCCCTTCTACCTCTGAGGATGACTGAACACCTAGGAGATCTGCTGGTCCTGTGCTCTGCACAAGATGAAAAAGCCCAGAGTAGCCGCCCTCACAGCAAACGGAAGGGAAACAGGGTGGAAAGATTGAGAGCGCCAGCTTTCCAGTAGAACCCACGACATCTGAATCCCGTTTTTCCACATTGTGTGGCTGGAGGCAAATTACTCGGCCTCTCAAAAATCCCCACTTCTCAGTCTGTAAAATAAGGGGAAGAGTAAATCACGAGGGATTTGTGACGACTATGTAAGGTAGGTTCAGAACAATGCAGGCTAGCCCTAAGTAAATTCTACATAAGAGGCGATAAATACTTAGCAAGACACCCAAAGAAGCCAAGCTCCCCCAGGTCTCAAGTGGGAGAGAAAACAGAGACTGAAAAACAAATGAGAAGCTAAGGGCTTTAAAGATGTGTGAGAGCATAGAAATCACAGCTAAAAATCTTCTCATCATTAACCCTTCAAGTCCCTAGGGTAAAAGATCCAGTAGCGTAAAAACACACAGGGGTCAAACCTGGGCCTTTCCACACAGAAGAAGTCTTCCATGTCCAAGACCTCTCTCTCTCTCCTCTTTCCTTCCCCTTCCCTTTGTGAAACTATGTACTTTGAGGAATATGTCTCAGCCTAGCTTTCCTCACTTCCAAATAAAAGTCTCATGCATCTGAAAATTTGCCAGCGATCTGACGTCGACTTTATCAGAGTGTTGTATCCAGGCCAATCACTAGTCGGTGTTTGCTCTTCAAGGGAAGTTAGAGCTACAGAAAGTTAATTAGTGCCTAAGAGGTCCAAAGGCCAAACGCCCCACCATTCTTTAACATGTGAGGAAGCTGGGTGGGTGAAGCAGTTCTGTCACCCTCATTTATTTTGAGCATGCGATCCACTAGGCATGCAGGGATCACCCACGGAACTCCGTGACCCACACCTGCACACTCAAATGTTGTCTCCAATTCACGGGCGTCTGTGTGGAGACAGAAGGGGAAGTCAGGCTTGACATTTCCATAGGGCCAAGAAATACTCCATAATCGCATCTAGAATCACTGTCCTGGAGAGGAATGAACTCAGTCACATGTCGCTGAACCCCAAAGCCTCTCCCGTCTCCCCGCCAGTAACCTTTAAAGGGCATATCCTGGGGAAACAATGATCCGCAGTCGGTGCCCTTCAGCAATGTGAACTCTGGACTGTGTGTCTAAGCAGCCGGAGCCAGGTGAGTCACAAAAGTGACGCCCAAAGCCACAGTGATCAGAGAGCATGATTGTGAAAATCCCAGCCCCGCCCAGAGCATTAGCTCAGGGACCCAAACTGTTCTTCCTCAAAGAGATGGCTTTCAACAAGACTAATGATTCATATGAGATCAGAAAATCTGATATGCTTCTATTTATACCCTCCAAACTGGCTCAACTGCCCGTGTGAAGTGTTCACACACAAGATGGTATCTGCTGACTTTCAACAATAGGAAAATTGAATTCTTCTTTTGTTTCTTCATATAATATTTGTACAGTTGTGTTTTCTGTTTAGTTTGTTATGTGTGTGTGTGTGTGTGTGTGTGTGTGAGAGAGAGAGAGAGAGAGAGAGAGAGAGAGAATGAATAAACAATTTGGCTTTGCATTTTACACATTAAAGTGACCAAAAATAATAAATATATGGAATCTTGAGATTCCAGAAGAATTCCAAAATAGATGTATTTGAAATTTTCCTTTTCTTTACCATTCTGCCTATTCAAGATGTATACAGGAATTTCTGAAATTTTGTCATAATCTTCTGCCTAATTTCAGGTTTTATAAGTTTCTTTCTATCAAACCAACTGCATTTATTAAGACATAATTAACCTATTTCCCCCTTTAATCATCTAAGATATATAAAACTCTAATCACAGCTTTAGATCAGCTTGTAATCAATGTTATCAAACTGAATTAATTTGACTCTAATCAAAAGCAAAAATACCATGACATTCTAGTTAATGAAGGCAGTTTTATTTTCAGAAATGCATGATGCCTGTGGAGCTTTCTGAAATAAAAATAAAAATAAAAGTAAGTTAAAAATCCTTCTAGCCACCTTTAAAGACCTCCGGAGCTCAGGTTCCCCAAGAGGCGAACCATACTGGGCTTAGAGTCTCGTCTCATAAGGGGCCAAACTATAGAAGTTAAAAGGCCTCCAATAGGAAATGGAGGCTTTAATTTGTATCCATTCCCCCAAAAAACTGATGTTTAAGCCTAGACATGAGCACAGTACTTTTCTTCCAATGTTTTTAATTTTCCATCTAAATAAAAAAGAGAACATTTGAAATAAAAAAAAAAGTAGCCATCCACAGTTCCTCTGCCCAGAGCTGAAGAATAATCCTGTAAGAGGAAAACAACCTGTTTATTTTTTCTTCAAAGAAAACCTTGTGGTATTAATAGTTCGCCATTCCTTCTGAGCCCCAGATAAACACAAGCTGTTGGAGGATTTAAAAAGGCCCAAATTTCATCCGGACCAGATTAGTGCTATTTCATGTGATTTGAATTTAATAATCCTGGAGTGAGGCTGGGGTGGGGGAAGAATTCAAGACCGGAGGAAGAAATTTCTTTGCAATTATGGATCAGTGAACAAAGTCAAAAGTTTCGACTCAAGCCCTCAAGAGAATCAATGTCCATTCCAATTGAAAACAGAAACAATTGGTATCAATTTGTGGTCAAGTCCACCCACATATTTTTTGTTTCTAGTTTCAGTTGGGTGTTTGGTGTGGCCTTCCTTTAACTTGATAGCTGAGGCCTAAGTTGATTTGACTAGTGGTTCTCAACCTCCCTAATGCTGTGACCCCTTTAATACAGTCCCTCATGTTGTGGTGACCCCAACCATAAAATTATTTCATTGCTACTTCATAACTAATTTTGCTGCTGTTATGGATCATAATGCAAATATCCAATATGTAGGATATCTGAGACACCCCCCTCAGGGGGTCACTACCTACAGGTTGAAAACCACTGGACTAGGCTATTAAGATTCAGGAATACTGCCGGGCGTTGGTGGCGCACGCCTTTAATCCCAGCACTCGGGAGGCAGAGCCAGGCGGATCTCTGTGAGTTCGAGGCCAGCCTGGGCTACCAAGTGAGCT